TAGTTCCGGTGGAGGAGGGCTGATTTTGGAGAGCAGAGGAGGGTAGTTCTCTTTGTTTGGTTCTTCCTTCTTTGTCTTAGCTCTCTCGCATTAAGGTCGTTCTTGGGCGGGCGCTGAATTGTATTGATTTTGAGGTATTTATGTTTATGCAATTTTTTCTTCCTAGTTGTTGATAGTTGGAAAATGACTTTTTTTTTGGCTTTAGATTCTGCGATGTTGTTGTGATATGATCTGCGTAGTTGTTGTTAATTCTTTTTATTTGCTTGTGTTTGTGTAAATTTGTGAATAGTCACATTGTTTGTACTGAATTTTACTTCGTTAAATTGATAATTTTTGCTAATGGTGATGTATAGGCGTAAATATCTGACTTTTTGGTTCAATTTTGATCGATGGTTGATGTGCAGAGTGTTGGGGTTTGATTTGGAGTGGGAAGGGAGTTTGCATTGTGTGAGCTCGCACTGTAGCATTTTCACTTTTTTGAACAGTGTTTGCTTGTTTGTGAAGAGAGAGTTGATTGGATTACTTTGCTATAGAAAGTGATCTAGTAATTGTAGCAGGAGTATCACTTTGTTTGATGGGGTTCTTTTTCTCCTTATAAACTTTTCCCTTACATTTCTTGCAATTTTAAGGAATGTTTCTTGTTATCTTCTCCATATGGCATAGTTTTGGGGATATTTTTGTCACTTACACTTACTCTTTTGCTAGGTGATCACAACGTTCTGTTCAGAGCACATTGCTAAATATGCTTTTGAATACGCTTACCTAAACAACAGAAAGAAGGTGACTGCTGTGCACAAAGCAAACATTATGAATCTTGGAGATGGCCTGTTCTTAGAGTCTTGTTGTGAGGTGGCCACAAAATATCCTGGGATCGACTATAAGGAAATAATTGTGGACAACTACTGCATGCAACTTGTTTCGAAGCCTAAGCAATTTGATGTCATGGTATGCCAATTACATTCAATGAATCTGGTCGTTATAAGCAAATTGTTCGTTTATTAATAGAAAAATGAAACCCCACATGGTAAAGGTAGGCTATTACTATACAGATTGGAAAAAGAAAAGTATGTTGCATCTTTTACCATTATTGTGTGGGATAGTAGGATTGGACCTTCTGTTGGTTGATCACTTTTGAGCAGACTAGGATGCCCCAGAAATGATGAGGCATCTCTTATGAGGGTTAGAAGATTCCTTAATCTTTGATTCTGTCAGAGAAAAAACTATGGATTACCATGAATATTTCCTTGGTTAGGAAGTTAAATACTTTTTGCTGCAATCTTTCTGTTAAGCAAAACCTGATTGTGTTGGAGCATTGTACCTTCTAGATTCTTGGGAAAAATTATGCATGTTTCGAATTGTAGAAAGTAGGGGAGTTCGAGGAGATGAGTAAAATTAAAACCAATGCAGTGTGAGTTTTCTTTCTCATCTCGAAAGATTGTTGCTTTTAACAATTCTATTGGGTCGAACTATCTCAGTTTTTTGTTTATATTTTATAAATCAAAGAGGCAAAGTGAGTTTTGTAGCTGAAGCAGGTTGATTTACATTTTGCAGGTTACATTTTGGTGTCTCCAATCCACTCAACTTTCTATAGATCGATTTTTTGAACAGTGTTTGCATTTGCACTTCGGGAAGATGCAAATGAAGCTACTTATATGATCTTTAGTTTAGGTGAATAATAACATGCAATTTTAACCTGAAGCAGCATTCTTATACTCAATCAAGTTCTCGAAGACAAATGGCGATCTTCAATGACACAAAATCTTCTTCTTCTTTTTGAAAACTGCATTGCAAACAATAGAAACTACATTGCATAAAACGGAAATTGCAATGCAGAAAACGGAAACTGCACTGCAGAAAACAGAATTTGCTTTGCAGAAAACAGAAACTGCAATGCAGAAAATGGAAACGACAACAGTTTTCATTTCCGTTTTAGTACTTTCTGAAGGGAATATTGTGGGA